TGTAAGGGATTTATTTTTTGGCAATTGCTAAATCAGTTTTTTTTTTTAAAAAAAAAAAGAATTATTATGAGAAAAATGAATTATAAAAAACATGTGCGTGTATTTTGTAAACATTTATACTCAAAATTATATTTTGAATTTCATTACATAAAGAAGACTACTTCTATAACTTTTATAAATAATGATAATAATTGCATTATATGACTGTAAATTTTATAATAAAATAATAATTTAATATTATATGGTGAACAATAATTAATAAAAAATTTTATTTTTTCCTATATCAATGAATAAATATGTATTCTAAAATCAAATAAATATTAGTATGACGTGTTAGCGGAATTATATATTAATTAACATGTTAATTTTTTAGCTTAAATAAATGCCACTTATTAAAAGATGTGAAATATGGATGATCCAAGCCTATTATTTTTTTGTCTAGATGTACAAGTACTATAGAAATAATTGATTTATTATATGTATCACGTGCATCGCACGGGGTATGCACTAATAAATGACCTTAAAATTGTGCACCTCGTGCATCACCCGTGTTCACATTTTGGCCTATTACAGGTCATGTACTATATATATCCCGTACATTATTTTTATTCATTTATATAATTATAAGAATGGATAAATGACCTTAAAATTGTGCACCCCGTGCATCGCACGGGCTCTGTACTAGTACCGGTCTAAAATACCGGCCAATAAAAAAAAAATAATTTAAAATAATAAAATTTAAATTGGTAGTTAAAATATTTTATTTTCATCTTATTGAGAAGTTGAAATTAATGATTATGGTCATTTATATTTTTATTTTTTTGCATTTGGCATTATATATTTTTATGTATATTTATATATAGCATTATATTTGCTAATCCGGTAATACCGTAGATATTACCGGTCCGACCGGTAATACCGCGTACCGGTGGCTAGGCCGGTATGGCCACCGGTACGGTATATATTTAAAACACTGATTACTAGTACATCACCCGTGCAGTCTAGTGTTAAAAAGAATGTGGGTAAATTATAATTCAAGTAAATAAAAAGATATTATAATGCATTGAGATAATAAAACATAGAATGAAATTTTTTTATTACATTTTAAAAATGTTTCGCTAAATATAACATTAGTAGTGGATAAACTTAGTTCATAATCAATATTATCATTGTAAATAATAATCATTATATAACAGAGATTTGTGACTAAAAGCAACAACATATAAGTGACTATGAGTAAAAAAATTTGAATGTTTTTTTCTTATAAAAATGAAAATTAAATACATTAAACATGAAAAAAAAACATTTGTCATATTTTACAGAAAAAAAATGTTTTCATCACAATAGTAATGCTCACAAAATTTTCCTAACGGTAAAATAATTTTCATAACCTATAAAAATAAATAAATAAATACTAAAAAAATACAAAAATGACCTAATTTTCGGTCATCGTACGGGTACCGCACTAGTTGTTATCTGAACAGAATACAACTCATTCATATGTTTGTAAAATCAATTAAAAAAAAGTAACATACTCAATAATTTCTGCAAGATATGTATGTTAAGGTTTGATTTAAGAAGATAATAAATGATGATTTTCTTCCCTAAATAAAGGACGTATATTTGGCATTAAGATTTGCCAAAAGAGCAATAGGTAATCCAGAAACTTTAGATATTGCATTTGAAGTTTACTAGTACAATACCCGCTTGTTAAGAAAATTATTTTTAAAAAGATTGTTTAGTTTTTAATAGCATTTAAAAAAAATATTATTATTTGTACTTAAAATGGCACTATCACTTAAATAACATTATTTTTTGAATTAATATTAATAGATAATTTAATTTTAATTATAAAGGTAAATAAAATTATATATTTATTTTGTATGTATACCATAGATGTTGAATCGAATCACATCAAAACATGGTTATTTAGATATATTATATTTAAAAAATTGTCAATAAATATTTTTTTTTTTTAATTTTAAACTTTTTAAGTAAGTAAATTTTTTATAATTTTAAAATAAATATGAGGAAAAATGAAAGATTGAAAAAAAATATACCTTATGAACCACATATATGATCAAAAATGATATTAAAATATAATTAATGCTTCTAAAAAGAACCATAAATATTTAGTTTATTTACGGATATTTCAAGCTTAATTACCTTTAGATTGGAAATAAAGTTAAATTCATCGAAGTCCAACAACAAAGCTTAAAAGTTTGTCACATAAGATTCTTAAATCAAACAACGAAGCTTAAAAGTTTGTCACATAAGATTGTGAAGCGTGAGAGTATGCTACTTAAACTCAGCACTCGAGAGTTATATATAAGATGATATTGGCATAAATGTATGGCCCATAACATCAAAATTCCAATTTTAAGCCCATAGCATTTTGATAATGTGGCCCATGAACATAATAGAGCCCAACTCAGACATCCCAACCACTTATGCATCCGCTATAAATTCCATAAACCCTAACATTCATCCTCCAGCTTCAGCAGACAATCACACCAGCACAGATCAGAGCAGAAAAGCGGCGAAGGGAAAATGAAGTTCAACCCACGCGTTTCCTCCTCCCGCCGCAAGAGCCGTAAGGCCCACTTCACGGCGCCGTCGAGTGTCCGCCGCGTCATCATGAGCGCGCCGCTCTCCAGCGACCTCCGGTCCAAGTACAATGTCCGATCGATGCCGGTCCGCAAGGACGACGAGGTGCAGGTTGTCCGGGGAACCTACAAGGGCCGCGAGGGAAAGGTCGTTCAGGTCTACCGCAAGAAGTGGGTCATTCACATAGAGCGCATCACCCGCGAGAAGGTGAACGGATCCACCGTCAATGTCGGCATCCACCCCTCAAAGGTCGTCATCACCAAGCTCCGCTTCGACAAGGACCGCAAGTCCCTGCTCGAGCGCAAGGCCAAGGGGCGCGCCGCCGCCGACAAGGACAAGGGGACCAAGTTCACCGCCGAGGATATCATGCAGACCATAGATTAATAGGTTTGTTGGCTTCGTTTGGTTCACTGGTCTTGTTTTATTTTCCGTATTGATTTTTGAACCTTTATGCTTATGAAACGCTGTCTCGAGGATGAGATGAAGACTCTGTCATGATATTTTACTTTCTTATGCACCTGGATTTTGATTGCCATGAGTTTAAAATGATTTCTTGTTTGTTTAATTCTGATATATATGTCTGTTGCCTAGAAATTATGGCCTACTACCGAGCTGTATATCAGCTTGTTGAGTAGCTGGTTGTTCACTGTGAGTGATCTTGTTTGTTCTGGTGTGCGTCTATTCGATATTCATTGCGGCTGGTGCTCCATGCTATATGCATTTTTTAACCTCTGAGATGATAATTTTGTGTGATCAACTCTTTAAAATAAGAGATATCGCAGAAGGTTCTAAGAGTTGTTTCTTTTCTTTAGTATTTTTCAATGGTTTCATGTTCTCTAGGAACTTCAGGGTCTGAATCAATATTTTACTATGATTTGTTTAATAATGAATGAGCAGTTGGACAGAGATTGTCTGCTAACTGAGATTTGTTTGAAGAATTGACTAGCCTGCAGCTTTGAGTTGCCTTCCTGAAATTTGTTTGTAATGTTACAAATAGAGTTTTTAAACGAGACGAGTAGCTCATGAGCTCGGCTCGATTCAGCTTGTAAGGCTCGAGTTTGGTTTGATAAATGAGCTGGAGGTTGCTTAAAGCTCTTTTCATGGTTTGAATTTTTTGTATAATTTTCTATAGTTTGGCTCATTATAAAAGCTTGAGATGGAATTTTTAAGACAAACTTGGTTTGTTTCCCATTTAGTTGTGGCTGTGGAGGTTGGCTGTATTCTGGGTAGTGTGGTGGTGGTTGTGTGTGGGTTCGAGAAGAGTAGGGGAGGTTTTATTGTATTTGTGGGTGTGTTTTGTAGTCTCCCTTCGTGGAGTTTTCGAGTGTTTGGTTTTATTAGTCTCCCTTCGTGGAGTTTCGAGTCTCTTGTTGAGTTTTTTAGTTTTGAAGTTTCTTATAGGGTTAAGCCTTTGTGAAGTGGAAGTTCAATGTTGAGTAATTCTCACGTTGATGTAACCATTTGGTTACCGGTATACTTATTTCGGGTTTTATAATAGTATTGCCGTTTCAAGAAAAAAAAAATTATTTATACTGTTAGAAACTTAACACAAATGACACATCATAGCAAATAAACCACTCAACCTTATATTAGCTTTATTTAAAAAAAAAAATTGGCACGTGCCCCTGTGGGCCCATGCTGAGGCTTCTCCCGGCCCCTGTGTGGTTCCGCCCATGCTGGGGCTTCGTCTGTAGTAGGTGCATCCTGAGGAATTGGGACTGATGTTCTAGCCTACACCGAGTTGCCTTAACCTAGGGTGCTGGGATTTGAGCCAGACTTTGTGTCCTTCGTCGACCACATTCCAACAAATACACTGGGATCCGACCACATTCCAACAAATACACTGGGATCCGTTTGCTTCGTCTATTTTCTTTTCAAACATTTTTTTCTTATAAAATTTCCCTTGTATTGCTGCTATTTGTTGTGATACTCCCCTTTGTGGTTTACTTCAGTTCGAACCGGCAATAACAAAGGGCTGCTCGGTTCAGCCCCGGCTGTTCGAGAAGTTGTCCGAGAGCCACAAATAACGGATTTTGGTCAGCCCTTTTTGACAGTCCATTTACAAATTTCTAACGAATATTTTGTCACTGTTGCTGGAAAATCAAAATACACACTACATTTATTACCTTACACATGGCTAACACATGTGTAAATGG